CCAGAGAGCTAGGATTACAGGAGTGAGCCACCGTGCCCGTCCGGTCTGTGATCCATTTTGAGTTAACTTTTAGATTGGGTGAGGTAGGGTCCAAATTATTTTTCTTTCTTTCCTTCCTTTATTTTTTCTTCTTGCCAATGGATATCCACTTGTTCCAGCATCATTTGTTGAGTAGCCTGTTCTTTCCCTGTTGAATTAACTTGGCACTTTTGTCCAAAATCAGTTGACTACAGTTGTGCGGGCTTATTTCTGGACTGTCTATTCTATTCCATGTCTATCCTGTCTTGATTACTGTGGCTTTATAATAAATTTTGAAATTAGGTAGTATACATTCTTCAACTTTGTTGTTCTTTTTTAAAATTGTTTTGATTTTACTGGGTCAGTTGTGTTTTCATATGCGTTTTAGAATCACCTTATCAATTTCTACAAAAATCCTGCTAGGATTTTGATAGGGATTGTGTTCAATTGTTATTCTGATAATATTGAGTCTCCCAATCCATGAATATGATATCTCTCTCCATTTATTTATGTTTTGTTTAATTTCTTTCATTGATATTTTGTAGCTTTTAGTGTGTAGGTCTTGCACTGCTTTTGATTAATTTAGTCTTAAGTATTTTTTGATGCTATTGTGAATAGAATTGTTTTCACAATTTCATTTTTGGATTGTACATTGCTAATATATAGAAATGCAGTTGATTTCTTTAGATGGCTTTTTTATTGAGATAGAATTCAAACAACATACATTTATTATTTTAACCATTTTACAGCGTACACTTCATAGGTTTTTAGTACATTCACAGTGCTGTGCAGCTGTCACCACTCTCTGTTTCCAGTATATTTTCATCACCCCAAAAAGAAACCCTGTGCCCATTAGCAGTCATTCCTAATCCAGCACCTACCTCATTCTGCTAGCCAAGCAGTCATTAATCTGCTTTCTATATGTATGAATTTGCCTATTCTGGATATTTCCTGTAAATGGAATTATACAATATATGGCCTTTTGTGAGTGACTTCTTTCACTTACGATAACGCTTTCAGGCTTCATCCCTATTGTAGCATATATCAGCAATTCATTACTTTTTCTGGCGGAATGATATTTTATTATGGAGATACACCATAATTTGTTTATCCATTTATTGGTGAACATTTGTGTTGTTTCTATTTTTTAGCTATTATGAATAATGTTACTTTGAACATTCTTGTACAAATTTTAGTGTGAACATTTGTTTTTAATTCTTTTGGGTATATACCTAAGAGTGGAATTGCTGGGTCATAGGATAACTTTCTTTAACCTTTTGAGGAGCTGCAAACTGTTTTCCACAATAGCTACACCATTTTACATTCCCACTAGCAACATATGAGGTTTCCAATTTCTCCGCATCCTTGCCAACATTTGTTAGTGTCTTTTTGATGATAGTCATGCTAGTGGTTTTGAACTGATTTTCGTTGTGGTTTGCAATTGATTTTTCTATATTGACCTTGTATCCTGCAACCTTGCTAAACTTGCTTATTAATTCCAGTAGATTTTTTGTTTTGGTTATTATTATTTTTTTTGGTAAATTCCGTAAGATTTTCTGTATATAAGATTGTTATCTGAAAGTAAAGACAGTTTTTACTTTTTTCTTTCCAATTTGTATACCTTTAATTTCTTTTTGTTGCCTGATTTTGCTGGCTAGAACCTTTAGTAAATGTCGAATAGAAGTGGTGAGAGTGGACATTTTGGTCTTGTTCCTGATCTTGAGGAAAATGCATTCATTCTTTTACTAGTAAGTAGGATGTTATTTATAGGTATTTCACCGATACCTTTTATCAGATTAAGGAAGTTTGCTTCTGTTCTTCGTTTGTTGAGAGTTTTTTTGTAAAGTACATTGGATTTTGTCAAATGCAATTTTTCCTGCACCTATTGAAATCATGCTTTTTTGGGTAAAAGTTTATTAATATGGTCAATTACATTGATTTTTTTTTTTTTTTGAGAGAGAGAGAGAGAGGTAGGGTCTCACTCTGCCACTCAGGCTGGAGTGCAGTGTCATGCTCATAGCTTACTGCAGCCTCAAACTCTTAGGCTCAAGCAGTTCTCCTGCCTCAGCCTCTCAAGTAGCTGGAACTGCAGGCATGCGCTACCACACTCAGCTAATGTTTTTATTTTTTGTAGAGATGGGGTCTTGCTGTTGCCCAGGCTGATCTCAAACCTCTGGACTCAAGTGATTCTCCCACCTCGGCCTCCCAAAGTGCTGGGATTACAGGCGTGAGCCACTGCGCCTGGCCTTAACTGGTTTTCAAATGTGAAAGTAGCTTTGCCACTTATCATGCTATATTGTTCTTTTCATATATTGTTAGATTTGATTTGCTAGATTTTAT